CCGGTGGAGGGGAGGCTTCCACAGCAGGTGGCCAGGAGACCGACACGGCCGTGGGAGACGACGGCGGCGCACCTGCGCCCCTGGGTGTCCGAGGAGGTGGGAAACAGGAGGATATGGTGGATCTAGGGCGGGGAGAGAGAGAGGGGGGAGGGGGAGGCGGCGCCGGCGCCGTTGACGGGGTCGGGGCCGGTAGAGAAGCCGAGCCTGCGCCTGGCTGGTTGGAGGGGGTTCACTGGGGGGAGGTGAAAGAGGTTGCAAGAGGGGGAGGAGAGGGGGTGGCGGGGGAGCCGGGCACCGGCGCTGGCAGCGGCGGCGGCGAGGGTGAGCCCACCAGGGGCTAGGGTTGGGGGGCTCATCCCTACTATCTCAAAGAAATTGAATTACACAGCCTCGCTCGCTTATGATTTTCTCTTCAGTGTATATTCCTTTTGGCAGTGTGTGGTCGCAGAGGTAGCAAATGTTTCCTTTTTTCTTAAAAAAACAAGTGACACAATGATTTACTCATATAAGCATGCACACTCGTCCTTGTGAACAAACATATAAAATACTAAACTGGTATATTTCAAGATTCATGAGTCACAATATACAAAAAATGTACACGTCGTTGTCGATAGACACAGTCATTTGCTGCAGGGAAAAATACCATTGTTAAATTATGAAATACTAGAATAAATATAGAAAAATAGGAATAGTTGAATCGATGATTAACTCGAGTTGTCATGTTCCACCACAAGAGCCTAAACAGATGAGCTATTCATATTCTTTATCTCCTACAACTAAAAAGAAAGTAGGATCATCGTTTCGTGCGACAATCGTCGCTCCGTCGGTCCACCCATCCGCTTGCGATACCACGCATCAATAACTTCACGGTCCGCCTGCCTGCCTGCGGTGCGATCCCTCCGCCCAAAAAAATGCCCGCCCGACGCCTCTCCTGCCCGCGCCCCCCTTCCCGTACCCTCGCCTACCCTCGTACCCACCCGACTCCTCGGTGTTTCTCTAACCCTAGCCACCGCCGATTGACCTCGCCGTTCACGCCTGCGCCGTCGTGGGCAGTCGGCATCGCCGCCTCGGACGAGGCTGACGCACGGCGGCCTCCAACCAGGCAACCAGGAGCCGACCAAGGTGATCCCGCCATCCATCGCCCTTCCCTGACCGCAGACTAAGCAGCCGAGCCCGCACGGAGGTGAGGAAGTTTCCGAAACCCGCCATACCTTTTCTCTCTCGTGTTCCATTGCTTGGATCTAGAACTGCCACCACAGCTGCCATCCTATTGTTTGCCGAGGACTGCGGCCATTGCTTCTTCTCTGCCACCAAAAATAGCCCCGGCATGATGTCCCACCATGTCATAGCGCCGTCCTGCGGGCTACACAATGGAGTGCCCGTGCGTTGTGTTGAAACATTCAGAATTTGCACGGGCACACCACGAGCTGAAATATCTCCTTGGCCTTGCTCATTGTCTAACACACAAACAACTGATCCCCATTTGACTTATGAGCATTTTGGCCATCGAACTATTGCCCAGGTTTGATTTTGCAATGCGATTCTGACTCTAAAATCAGAAATCTTTCATCGCTGATATGTATTGATGGCCTCTTACCTACTTGCTATTTGGCATCATGTTTGTTTGGCCTCATAATGTTCCTTTTGTTTCATATCATGATTTCAAAAGTCAATTATTGTAGAAAACTGGAGGCTGCAGATGTTAAGACACTCCGTATGAGGTTGAGTTTTTTCGGTGAAACCATGTTTCTCTTTTGAACTCCTCACGACTGTGAATGTTTTATCTACCAATAGTAGTGATGATGATCTGATTCCTTCTTTTTTCATGCTTGATTGCTTAAGATAGTACTTGTTAGGTGTTATAGTAAAAACAACGGTGGAATCACATACTATGAATGAACATATGTTGATGGGATTATTATAGACTATAGATTTACGGGTTGGTACCTTGTAAGTTTTCTTCTAAAAATCAACACCTAGAGGTTTGTAGCTTCCTAAACCATGCATACAATTTCTTTGGGTGTGCATTTGATGTAAACCTTTTCTCTTTTCAACTCCTGCAGATATAGTGAATTGAAATTAAATAAGGACTATAGAATAGTAAGTTGATGCGAAAACCGGAAGTGAGGAAAAATGCACACTCTATAGATAGTCCCAGCTCAAAGAATCTGAATATTTGATGTTTCTGCTAAACATTACATCACTCTATAAATCAACTATGAAATCATTCAGAGGAGTTAAGTGTTGATTTTATTGGTGAAATCATTCTTGATTAGTGCAAAGAAACAAATTAAAGTGTCAGATATGTTTTTTTAAATGTCAATTCTGTTGAGAGTACTAAAGCTGAATAAAATGATTGTTTCATGATCACTTGGTCAGAAAATATAATCATCTTTCAGTAAGAAATTTACATCCCAATTTAAAGGTTGATTTCACCAGTGATCGACAAGGTTATGCGTAATATCTATACTTTTACTACATAACTTTAAAAGCTAGAGAGATGTACTCTAATGAACCCCATACAATTACTTGTAGATTCTGAGCTTCTGAATTCGTGTTAAGCCTGAACTTCGGTTAGGATTTTTACCAAGCTGAACATCTGTTGTCTTGATATATATGCTATTGCATTAGTGCTAATAATTCAATCGTGTCGCTTGTAATTGTAGTGTCGATCTTCTCAGCTCTGTGCGCGATGACATCACCGAGTACAAGGTTGGCTTCCTTCAATTGTTGTAGTGTACATGCCATTGCTGTTGTATGTTTTGTGCGTGCCTCTTTGAACACTGGAATGTGGAATTCTGATCAGGCCACCGGCGGCATGTCGCCAAAGGCGCCTTTGCTCAGGGAGAAGGCTTCCATTCATGGAAGCATCATAACAATTGAGATAGACAATGTTGCGCTGGTTTACATTTTGCTTATTTATTTATTTATGGTTGCTTGGTGGTTTGGGTATAATTATATTGCTTAGCGGGGCTCTGGAGAAATTAGTTTAATATGTTCAATGTTCATCTTTGGCTAATGCCGATGATCTCGTGTGAACTAGAACATCCTTGAATTGAACTTGATCTAATGTGGGGAACTTGCGAAAGCCCAATTATCCTATACTACCCACTGAAGCAGCATTATGCCATTTTCATGAATTCTAAAATCAAGAGTGAAAAAGGGATAGGTTGCCAAACTGCAAAACTCTATGTCTGGCACTCTGGCTCAAGGTACTAATTTACTATCTTTGTTTGATCACATGATTGATGACGTGATTGGCCAAGCTCAAACTCAAAGCACAAGAGTGGCCCTTTCCAATCAGAGAGGGTCTTGTTCGGTGATGTTGAAGCAGCTGGTGAAAAGTTCTCGATAATCAGAGGCCTTGTAGGTAATAAATGTGTTTGATCTCTTCTTTGCTATCTTCTCCATATTATTTTGGGATGTCATGATACAATTTTACTGATTATTGCATAATTCCTATTCCTTGGACAGTCTCAGCAGCCATTGTGTCAATGCATCCCACATAATTGGTACCATTCTTGCTTGCAGGAGTCATTAAGCACGGGGGTTCAAAGGCACTATGATTCTTTCAGCAGTGATCCAAAGTGCACCAAATATTTTATTATTTACTGGCTTTTCAAAAGATGAGGTCTCACCAACAGAATCCTCCCAACGATGAAGGCTTCCCCTCTTGGAACAGATCACTGATAAATTGATGATCTCAGATGGCACGTTGTTAATGCTGAGAAGAGGGAATGAGATATATCAGTTTCTCCAGTGTTCATTGCTTTGTGTTTGACATTTAGTACCTTGTATCGCAAGATCATCACGCACACACGGAGTAGTGTTGCTTCTCACAGTAACCCATCTGAGCATGACCGCGCTGTTCATTGCGTGCGTTTAACATGCAATGCTACCTTGTATCTGAAGATCATCACACATATGTACAACCATTTCGCTTCTAAAAAGTAGCCCATCTGAGCATGATTGTGTTGTAGTGTAAACATATGATGACATCAGTTAATGCTTCCCGTGAGAAAGGCATATAATCCTATATTAGCATATACGTGCCTCGTTCTTAATATTGCATTTCATTTTATGCTTCTTCTAAGATTGAAATTAAGTGAATCTATTTTACTACCTTAAGATATTAGTAAACTTCTCCAATAGGACGTTGGACCAGCATGGGGCTGGAATGATCTGGAATGTATGCTCGCATGGCTTTGATATGGTTCCTATAGGAGTGTCAGGTGCATAATAGTGGAGATAGTTTTCAGCCCTCACCGTGCATTTTTTCTTGCGAGCGGTTGATATATGAACTAAACTTCAATAAATCATTTTTCCTGTTTCTTTGATATATGAACTAAACTTTAATAAATCTTTTTTCCTGTTTCTGTGTGGCAGGATGAGATGGAGACCTTCACCACCCTCAGGGGGGCAACAAGATGAAGGACGCTTTGTACCATGATTTAATGGAGTTGGTCCCTTTGTTGCAGCGCCCGTGTTTACGACTTCTAATATATCTGTTGTATTCTACTGTTTGATGAGTACACATATGTTATTATAGCTCACTAGCCCGCGCAACTGCGCAGAGGTTCCAAGAAGAGCTGCTAAACTATATATATTGCACATTTTTTAAACGTCGGTTGTTTTCATGTATTTAAAGATGTGTGAAAGTTTTCATATATATTGCACATTTCTTAACGTTGCTGTTTTCTTGACCGTGTTAATTATATGAACTTTGCTTTTTGGATTAAATATCAGTTTAACATCGGTATTTAATTTTACGGTATTATTATTTTATCGTGCATTTTTTGTGTTTTTTTATATAAAAGTTTAGTTGTTCCGTAGCAATGCACGGACATGCTACCTATATATATATATATATATATATATATATATATATATATATATATATATATATATATATATATAATTCCTAGCTTCGTCACACGTACACACGCATCAGCATGCAGGCCCTGTCAGCAGGGAGCTAATTAACCGTGCTTCGATCCTGCTCAGTAACCGGCCGGGACACCGCCTTTTCTGGGGTCACTGACGGCGGTCAGGTCGCCTTGGCGCCCGATGTTGTGCACCACGAGCTGGCTTATGGTTCCCCCGGCTAGCGGCTTCAGGACGTGGCCTCTCTTCTGCAGGTCGGCCCTCGTCGCGGCGTCGAGCTCGAAGTGGTCGCCGGTCACCGTCGTCCAGTTCTCGTACTTGACCTCGTTTGGGATCAGCTGCGGACATGGCAACCAAAACCAAGCTCAGAAGAAAGACTATCTAGCCGGTCGGTGACATGTCTCTCAATCTCAGGGTGACACCGGACGGCATCAGCGCTGTGCGTGGAATACAGGAGTAAGCTATTTTTCACTGATGGTTTTTTTACAATAAAAGTATCAAACCTGGTGATACACCCTTGGCGCCATGACAGAAGCCAATGGATCCATGTTCTTGACGAAATGGTTGATGAACACCTCGATCGTTCCAGCGGGGATCATGCTGCCACCACTGGCACCAACTGCAGCCACGAGCTTCCCGTCCTATGCAATAATGCAAATGCAGCACATGACAAAACAATCAAGCTCTCAACAGGAACATGGTCTGAGGCTCTGAGCTCGTTTCAGACCATCTCAGATTCCGTTACGCGCTATAGTTACCTTACCTTGACAACTATGGTTGGAGTCATGGAAGAGAGAGGCCGTTTCAAAGGGCTGACGAAATTGGCAGGTGCTGGCGGTGGAGAATTCTCCGACGCGTTCGCCGGCATGGAGAAGTCATCCATCTCGTTGTTGAGCAGGATGCCTGTGCGTGGGGAAAGGATCAGTGAACCGAAGTACGCGTTGACGGTGCTCGTCATCGAAACCGCGTTTCGCTCGCTGTCGATGATGGACAAGTGGCTGGTTCCATGGTCCTGAAGGATGTTCCACCTGAAAAAAACACAAGTTGATCAGGATCAGCACCCTATTTGCAAGATGGCAATGGGACGTGGAACTGAACTGGTGAGGCAATGAACATCGATCACCGATAGCATTCGGAAAGGGTTAATTGAAACTTGAAAGCAATGCATGATCTTTTTACGGCAAGTCTGTCTTTACCTTCCTCCGTAATGTTTAGGCGCAAATGTCATGTTGTCATAAATGGTTTTCTTCAGTTCAGCAGCAAATTTGGGGGAAATCATATCTGACACAACCTCGCTATCGTTCACAAAGTCAGGATCGCCAAGGTTCATCTTTACCGCCATGTAATGTTTCAAGGACTCGATGAGGCGATGAATCCCAAGAGATCCAGCGAAACCAGCAGGAATGCCATACTGCTCGAGGATGTTCAGGACCTATCCATAAGTGAACAGGTGAGCCAAGATCATGGCAAAGGAATTGATCGGTGTTAAGAATGCAGAGAGCTGGCTAGACAACTCACAAGCATCATCCCGGCACCGCCGGCGGAAGGCGGCGGCATGGTCACCACCTGGAGCCCCATCACGTTTCCCGTCAGCGGCCGCCGCACCTTCACCTGGTACCTGTTCAGGTCCTCCACCGTCACGATCCCTCCGGCCTCCTGGACGTCCCTCACGAGCCGCGCCCCCACGGCGCCGCCGTAGAACACGCCGGGCCCGTGCTCCGCCACGGCCCGCAGCGTCTGGGCGAGCCTCGCGTTGCGGCACACGTCTCCGGCCCTGAGGATGTCGCCGCCCGGCGCGTACACGGCCCGCGTCCCGTTGTTGCCCAGGATGCCGTCCCTGGTCGCCTCCATCTGCATCCGCAGGTACGGCGAGATCCTGAACGCCAGGGCGAGCCGCGCGGCCGGCAGGACGAGGCGCTTCCATGGGAGCTTGCCGTGGTGCTTCCACGCCTCGTACAGGCCGGCGATCTCCCCGGGAACTGCTATGGAGAGCGCGCCCCGTGCTTTCAGCGACTCCTTGCCGCCGTACATGTCCTGAATGCATGGTTGACGTTTCTAGTGTTCATTCTCTCGTCCTTGGAAGTTGGAAGAACAATGGGTACAGGAATAACACTCGAACATGGAAGAAGTGCCAAAGAAAACGCTGGACAGTGGGCAGCGGATCGAGTGCCGTTTCTAATTCCTTATTAAACGTCATTACTCTGCTTAGTGCTCATTTATATACGCTAATGCTAGGAAGTGCATGTCAGTCCGCCCGGACGCTCCGTTGTTGGTGGACCGGCGATGCTAGCTCAAGACCCCGCTCTTATGTTTCCAAATAAAAAAAAATCCGCTCATCCATGTATTCGTACCTATCCGCTCACTTGCTTCTATCCGCTTGCCTGCCGCCTCCGGCGCTCGCCGGCTAGCCCAACCAGGCGCGGCACGCGACCACCTCCGAGGCGTAGCGCTCGCCTACCGACCCTGCCAGGACACTTCGGCACGCCGCCGCCACCATCCCCCGCCGCGCCTCCATCCCCCGCCGCGCCCAGGGTGCGCTGGCTTGGGACGCGGAGCAGGTGCTCGCCCAGGGGTGCTCACACGCCTCGCGCAGGTGCTCACCCAGGCTGTCGAGCAGGTCCTCGCCCAGGGGTGCACCGGCGAGCTCCATGCGTCTGCGTCACGGCGGCGTCGAGCTCCGTGATTCGTCCGAGCAGTAAGGTGACATTGTGCGCTGAAAACGCATGTTGCAATAGTATGTTTAAGGTATTTCAGATGTTTCATGTGGATATTGCAAGTGTTTCATGTGGATGTTGCAAAAGTATATCCGGATATTGCATATGTTGCAATGGTTGTACACGTATGTTGCAAGCTTTTGTTCCCAATGTTTCAGTTGTTTTTCCAAACATATATTGCACGTGTTTCACACATATGTTGCTTGTGTGTATCTGGATGTTGCATATATTTTGCGATGGTCTTTCAACCGTTTTCTGATGTTTTTACAAGTGTTTCAGACGTATGTTGCAAGTGTTTCAACTGTTTTCGAACGTATGTTGTAAATGTTTCATTTGGATGTTTTAAAAGTAGTAGATCAAGTGTTGCATCTCCCTCCTCGCCTTCTGCTGCCTCGCCTTGATGTCTCCTCCTCTTCTCGATGCTGGTGATGTTCGGGTGACGTGGGCCCACGTGGGGGCGGACGGCGTGGGTTGGGTGAGTCGTTCGAGCGGCGTGGAATCCTAGTGGATGGGGCATGCGGCATGGAGCAGGCACAGGGCACGGGAGCTGCGGCCGGACATGGGCCTAGGGCCAAACGTCCGGGGGCTAACCTGATCCTTATTTATACACTTGCACCTTGCGTCGCACCTCCTCCTTATTCCACACCGTCTTTCACCTCGCGCCCGCGCTAGAGAGGAAGAAGGCGAGGAGATCACCGGCGGTAGGGTTCTGGCGGGTCCAAATGGGTGATGGGGGGGCGATAGCCAAGGTTTGGGCCTGGCGGTGGAGGCGCCTGGACCAGTGTCGGGCGGGGTGTCACGTGAGCTCAGCAGCATGCCATTGTCCTGGGTTTAGGTGGTGGGTTCGAGGGGGTGAGGGGATGTGGGTGGCGCGACGAGGCGGCTCGCCGCTGGCCACCGGTGGTGGGGGCGGGGTGGGGGTGGGGGAGGGCTGAGGACGAGGATGACACAGGTGAGCTTGCCCTGTATTTATAGTGGGCGGGGTGGTTGTGTTAAGAAAAATATATAATTTAATGTAGATTTTTCATTAGTAACAATAACTAATGTTTATTTCTTCTAATATTTTAGTTCGTCCGAGAGTACGAGTAGATTGACTAGTATATCTAATGAAGTAAATTAGTGTCATATATATTAATATTCTATTATATAAAAAAATTTAAACTTGGATTTGATTTATAGAACAACTCAAAATTCATTATTTTGCGACACGTAGGGTCTATGCCTGGTCATTTCCTTCTGGATCCATCACTTTAGCTACTTTCCCCCCCTTGTCTAGCAGTCAAACTCTCTCTTTGTGCTCTAATCCATATACTTGCATCGTTGGTCAGTCCTGAACCATTGTCATCATCATCCCGTCCTTAGCACACTCCTCCCTTGCCAGCCAATCGCATTTTGCACTGTCATGTGCTCATGTCATGTTGCCAGGTCATCCCACCCCCTCCCAACTATTTGTAGCCTTCTGCCTTGCCGTCCCACGCACTGCTTTCCCTGGCTCAACTTCATCCCAAAAGGCAAAGACCAAATCCCATTTTAGACACCTCAAAGCCCTAACCCCCATCCACCGACCACCCTTCTCTCGCTATTTGTGGGGATTTCCAGACACCTATGACTATACGATTATAGAAGGTACTTAGAGAAACAGATACTTGTTTTTAACAGTACTCCCAAAAAAAGTTTTGAACAGGTATAAAGGTCGATGTGACCTATTACCTCCTCCTACGAGGTAGTAGAGTCATAAATAGAAAACAATCCCCCTCTCTTTGTCAATTTGAGCAGTGTTATTATAATTTTGCAAAGTTGGAGATAACGGTACTCCCAAAAAAAGTTTTGAACAGGTATAAAGGTCGATGTGACCTATTACCTCCTCCTACGAGGTAGTAGGGTCATAAATAGAAAACAATCCCCCTCTCTTTGTCAATTTGAGCAGTGTTATTATAATTTTGCAAAGTTGGAGATATGTCATTGGTATCTCACTGACATGTGGGGCTCACACGAGTCAATGACATGTGAGACATGATGACATATCTCCAATTTAGCAAAGTTATAATGGCAGTCTTCAAATTTTCCCCTCTCTTTGTCAATAAGGCATATAGCCTTAAAAAACATGGCATGTGCACTATGATTCCAACGTGACAGTTGGCAAATATTCTCGACGGATCACTATGATTAGCCTTCTCTCATTTTTCTTTCGGTGCCTTATTATTATCATTCAATTTTAAATTAGAGCTTACTTTAGTCTTGTCCTAAGTAAAACTTTCCTGCTTTGACTATTTTTTTTAGAAAAAATATATCAACATCTAACAAGTACTACCAAGACACTTCTATGAAAAAAATGTAATGAAACTAATTAGATGCTGTTGATGTTGATTCTTTTTTCTATATGGTTGGTCAAAGCTAGATAAGTTTGAGTAAAGTTAAAGTAAACTATAATTTGGAAAATATATACAAGTAGCAAACTTTATACACGTCTTATTCTTTGATTAAGCCGTGACTGTACTCATCTCAAGGCTCAAACTCAGTATCACGTAGGTTAGGTACTACTCCCTCAGTTCCGAATTATAAGACGTTTCGGTTTTTAGATACGTCATGTTTACTATATATCTAGACACAATTTATATGTAAGTATAAAGTAAAAACTATATATCTAAACAAGCAAAAACAAAATATCTAAAAATAACATCTAGTGGGTTGATATATTGGTGATGGAGCCACATACTCAAAAAGTGAAAAACAAAAATTAAAACATAACAGCTAAAAAAGTTGTGTTCGAATATATATGATCTAGAATAATCCAAATGAATGATAGATAACTAAAAAATACTTATAGCTCCAAAAGGACGTGAAAGTATGCTTCTTAATGGCTCCAAATTAAAAAGATGTGAAAAATATACTTGTTTGAGCTACAAAAATAACTTCAGGGAAGGAAACCTCTTTTTTTAACACAAGGAAGGAAGCCTCTGGTATGCATGGTGCTGTGATACAATCGAGTCCCAAGCATGCCCAACAACACGCAGTTTCTCTGCATGTACACAAGTGCACATGGATGGAGTGATAAAAGGAGCGCTAGTTGATCTTGTCACGATTTGTTGTACCGTAAACATCAACCGTATATAACTTGGATTCCTTTTGGCTTTCCCAATTCTCGTTGCTCACAGGGGCGGTCCAGAGTCCAGACACTACAGCGCAGCGACACTGTAGGGGACACCGAGAAGTGGACGAAAGCGCGCATAAAGCACTTTCCACACGGCAAGAGAGGAGAACGAGAGGGACACGTTTTATTCTTTGATTGATCTTACTTGCTTAGTGTAGCTAGCTAAGTAGCTAACATGGATAAATCCGTCGCTCATGGTTCTTCTTCCTGGTGGCAGAGATAGGGGGCAAGACCCCCTGCGAATCTCTACAGTTTCTATTTGAATTTTTTTTTTTAACTTTGACTAAATTTTAAAGAAATTTATACTGCTGGCCTTGTAAACAATTGCATTTCTGACTCCTCTTGTTCTTCCCACCACTCCAAGGCACATCCTCACACAAGCAATAGCACTGTCATGACTGCTACGGCGAAGACAATGCCTTACCACAGTCTTATCAGTTATCACCAATACCGGCACTTTGTAAGTAACTACCATAATATCCTGCTTTAATGGGTAACTGAAAGACAATTTGCTTAAGCAACAACCATGTGAATCAACTACCTAGTCTACTGGCAAGTCGTATTATATTTGGCATGATTGCTTTGCCGTATCCTTTCACAAATAGTTTTTCTTGTGATCTGATCTCGATCTCCGCCGTGCTTGAGTCCTGGTCAAACGAGGCGAGAGCTAGTACTGTACTATGTGTGTGACAGAGACCAGAAAGAAGAATCCTAGGGGCAAGTCACTCGCAAATTCCTGCCTGCTAGTACGACAAGTCGACAATGCTTAATTTGACCACCGCGCGCGGCACGCGGCATTAGCTTGAGTGCTTGACTCACCTTGGAGGCGGCGAGGGGCGCGGTCTCGCGGGAGTCGTACACGACGGCGGTGCCGTCGGCGAGCCTGACGAGCATGAAGGCGCCGCCGCCGACGCCGCTGGAGGCCGGGCTGACGACGCCGAGGCAGAGCGCGGAGGCGACGGCAGCGTCCACGGCGCTGCCGCCCTCGCGGAGCGCGTCCCGGCCTATCCTCGAGCACCGCCAGTCGTCCGCCGCCACGGCGCCGTGCGGCGACGTCACCGCCTCCCTGCGCCCTGCTGCTGGCGCTGCCGAGGCCGCAGCCGCAGCAGCTCCTCCCGCGGCCGCGAGCAGGAGGAAGAGGAGGAGAGCGGCGGTGACTCGCGGTGGCTCTGGCTCCCATTGGAGACGTCGGGGTCGGGCTGCAGAGCTCAGGAAGGATGAGGGAAGCTTAGCAAAACGAATGGATAGTGTTTGGATTACACCGTCAGAAGGAAAGACGCAAGATTTCCTTACCAGCCATGGCGCGGGAGAACGAGAGTCGAGGGAACCTCTGACCCTGAGAGGCCTGGTTTCTTCTGCCTACTCCTGTACAGATATTGAAAGTGTTAATCGAGTCGTGGCTTCGCCCCGTTTGTTTGGACTTGTTTGGTTTATAAGGTATATATTTTTTTTAAGTTAACGAATAGTTTTTTTTTCACACAAAATCAGCGAACAGTACTTTCAGTCATGACTTATCAGCTAAACAAGCCCAAAAGAATATGGCGTTGATTGGAAGCATGAGCTACGGTTTTATTTTGGGCTGACATATCAGAATTTGTTTATTTCATACTATTCACTCCATTGCAAATTGTAAGGCATTTGACTTTTTCTATATGTGTAACTTTTGTTATGCAATTAGATATATACTATGCCTAGATACATAGTACAAGTAATGTATCTAGCAGAACCAAAATGTTTTACGATTTAGAATACAAGAAATGCATTTAATATATTACTATAAAAGAGCAGGACAATTGAAGAGGCTATCTAAAGTGTCATTATGACATAGGACCAGTGGTATGTAACTTATATTGCCAATTTTGTAATGACTAGTGAGTGGTATACAACATATGTTGCCATTTTTACAAATGACTCCTCTTCTCGCGAGTTCAGAGTCTTATGCGCCGACGACTCCAGTCTCCAACTTCTCTATGGTATCCTTGCCGTTGCCGGTAAAGGCTGTTGAACTCCATCGCACGACTTCTCTCCCGTATCCTTGCCGTTAAAAGCTGCTGATCTCCATCGCACATATGTCTTCTTAGGCAAACAGAAACCGTTGTAGGTGCCAACCAAACAAATCGTAGTTTCAGTTCCATGGTAACGGATAGCATAATTGTATTGACGTTGCCGCTCCCAGGGCTAAACCAAACAACACCTAAATTAGTTGTTTCTAATTACATTGTCGTTGCCGCCCTTAGGACTGAACCAAACAACATCTAAATTAATTTGTAAGCATATAAGAGACGAGGGGCATTGTGCACAAAAGGATGGCTGAATCAAACATCTAACTAATTTGTAAGCGCATATGTAAGCACAAAAGAGACGAGGGCATTGTTTGCTCCCGGCGTTGAACCAAACAACATCAAAATTAATTTGTAAGCACATAAGAGATGATGGGCATTCTTCACAAAAGGACAGCTGAATCAAACAACTAAGCACATATGTAAGCACATAAGAGATGAGGGGCATTGTTAACAACACCTAAACTAATACCATGCTGTTGGGAATAAAAAATATTAAAAATATTCGGATTAAGGCTTGGGGTTTTGAACCCACGTGAATCGAAGACGCAACTTTCTGATATGGAGTCTGAAGCGCTACCATTGCGCCACGGATATGGTTTGTGCTGTGGTCTAAAAAAACTCGACCTGTAGGGTATAACGACTCCGGGTTTTCTGTTGACAAGAAGGATCTTCTCACACAGATCGAGAAAACCTCCGAACCCCCACCTCTATCCTGACGCAGGAGGTGCTGTCACCCTGTGAGAATCGGACCGGAGTCTTCCACTGTGCTTTGGTACATGGGGACGGGCGAGGGAAATTTTTTAACCTCAGTCTGAAATCCGCTTCCACGGAGAGTTGAACCTAGAACCTGAAAAGTGCCGCTAGGTTACCTAACCGTTTGAGCTATGCGCCCTTTGGCTGTACTGTGGTCCTATCGCACAAATAATTATTTATCTCATACTACGTCATTTTGTGGATCGGTAATGGTCAGAGCTTTGCAGCATCCGGCCAAAAAAAAAATATAGCAACGGATGCTCTTACTTTTCAGACCTGCTGCACCGGTTTCTCGTGGTCAGATTTGAGCCCCCCGAGACGGCAAGACCGAAGGACAACACGACGAGGTCGAGCATTCAGGAGCACTACCGGAATAAGCAGGTAAGCCGAGTGCGGAGGGTTTGTCGAGTGCGATCTATCATGCACTCGATAAATAAGCTTTTTATCAAGTGCTGCAAAAAAAAAACACTCGGTAAAATAATTATATTCGACAAACGAGAAAAGAAACACTCGACAAAGTTTGACACTCGGCAAACCAGAAAAAAAACACTCGGCAAAACTAGACAATCGATAAAGAAATATGTTTGCCGAGTGTAATTGTCTGGCACTCGACAAATAATTTCACTTTTTCTCTTCTGAGTTCTGACCTTGAAACTTTTTCTTCTCTTCACATACAACATATGGTATTCCATGTTAAAATTTGGTGTATTGGTGGATCTGTTTGCTATATTTAATTAATTTATTGCATTTCAAGAAATTTTTTGGTATAAGTCAAATTTGAACTACAAGTGATTCAAATAATAGAATAAAATGAGTAGAAAAATGATATTCATGTTATTGAGTCCAGTGAGGCCTTACCCGAGAAATAAAAAGAAATTTTGAATATCTTGTTTAGAAAACACGACCACGAACGTATGGCCGAATGGTTTTTAAATTCTAAACAAAGCAAACGAAGTCTAAAAATCATGAGATTTGTCATGATGTGATGATATCATACGTGGAGGCTGTGGTAAAAAATTAAGTAGGTTTCGTACAATTTGTTACGTACGATGTTTACAAACCGAAGCATCTCAGAAGAAGAATCGTAGCGTTGAGAAGGATTCGGTAATATTTGGAGTCAAAGTGATGGTCAAATTAGGGTTTGGCTTCAAAATATTTTGTATAGGCAATAGAGAACGTAGATTGTTTCACGTGAAATTTTGGTAGTTTTTTGATCCGTTTGATAATTTTAATTTATTAAGTGTAATTATAGAATTTTAATTGATATAAATAAAAATTGAGCTGTAACTGCATAAAATAATGGAATAATATTCCTAGAAAAATCAAATATATATTGTTGAGTCAATTTGATAAGGTATTTTTAAAGTACATCGGAACAAATTGAGAAAAACACGTCATGCAAAAGGAGAAGGAAAATGAAAAAAATAGGTTTGTCGAGTGCCCATTATTTAGCACTCGGCAAAGCTGGCATTTGTCGAGTGCCAGACCTGGGACACTCGACAAACCCCCTCACCGGCCCACACACGCACAGTAGTTTAGGGTTTGAAAATAAAATAAAAAAACAAAATGTGTTTAGAAATTTAGAATAAAAAAATACGTTATGGAAAAGAAGAAAAATAAAAAATGGGTTTGCCGAGTGCTCCCGATCTGACACTCGGCATAGATGTGGCTTTGTCGAGTGTCCTAATCCGACACTCGACAAACTCGCAACCTTATAGACTCGCCCGACCACGGCCGCCTCCCTCCCACGGGCCTCCTCTCCCTCTCCCGGCGCCGCCGCCCCCTGCCCTCCCTCCATCTCCCGCCGGTGCCCCCTCCCTCTCCCGTCGGCGCTGCCCCCTCCCCTCCCTCTCCCGGTGCCACCCTCTCTCATCCCTCTCCCCGCGCCGCACCCTCCCCTCCCTCTCGAGGATCCTGTTTCTTGTGGAAGCGCACGTGGATCTCAAGGATCCGGCCACGGGCTTCCTGGACGAGGCGGCGGCGCTTGCCGTAGGCATGCTCGAGGCGTCGCTTTGGCTCAGCGGTGTGTGCCTGCGCTCGCTCCAGCTCTGCTTGTGCCTCCACCAGGTGTGCCCACGCCGCCGCCATCTGCAGGTTGCAGAGGAACGCCACCCGTCGCCTTGATCACGCCTCCAGCGCACGACCCGCCCCCGCCCTGCGTCCCTAACCCCTCTGCGTCGATGTCGTCTGCAGAGAGCCACCCCCGCGTGAGCTTGGCTCGGACTTCCAAGTGCTGGTTGCAAGGTCGAGTGCCGCCGCCAGCTGGCCATGGCCCTGTCCCAACCCCCATCTCCCTCCCTCACCCTTTTTTTGCGCAGGTGGTGGCAGCGGTGTGGTGGTGGTGGCGGGGGGGCAAGCGGCGGGGTTGTTTTTTTATATTTTTTCAAAAAGTCTTTGTCGAGTGTCGGTTTTAGCACTCGGTAAAGTCTTTGCCTAGTGCCTGAGAAAAAACACTCGGTAAATAAACGTTTGCCGACTCTATATACGCTGAGTACCGTTTGCCGAGTGTAACACTCGGCAAAGGCTTTGCCAAGTGTTTTTAGGCTTCGTCGTGTGCCGTGGACACACGGCAAACCTGGGCATTCCGGTAGTGGAGAAAAAGAGAAAGAAAAGAAACAGAGGCCTTGTTTAGTTTTAGGGTGTAAAATTTTGGGGTGTCATATCGGGTGTTACATGGAGGTGTCGTATGGGGTGTTCGGATACTAATAAAAAATAAATTACAGAATCCGTCAGTAAACAATGAGATAAATTTATTAAGCCTAATTAATCCATCATTAGCACATGTGGTGCTACAGTATACACATGCCTTACTGTAGCAACACATTATCAATTCATGGACTAATTAGGCTTAAAAGATTCATCTCGCAAAGTAGTCGCAATCTGTGCAATTAGTTATTTTTTAGTCTATATTTAATACTCCATGCATGTGTCTAAACATTCGATAGGACAGGGTGTAAACTTTTGGGGGAGGAACTAAACAAGGCCTGAGCAAACCAGTGCAGATGGCGCTGAACCCTGTTAACTACAGAACGTGCGTGCTAAGGTGGTAGAAGAGGAGAAAGAAACAAGTAAAGATATTGGAACATGTGTTAAGCTAAAATTTTGGAGCATCAGCACCAGTTGCTTGTTTGTGCACACATCATAGAGGGTTTATTTCATTCACTGACCTAAACCTTTTTTTAATTATATGGCATTATTTTTATATAATGGAACAGTAACATTCTAACTTTTACATCAAAAAATTTATTTAAGAAGCACATTTTTTCATTTCACTAATGATTGAGAAACAATGCAGAATCAATGGTGATGCAAACAAACAAACAAAACAGATACACATGCATTCAAGAAGCAACCACAATTTACTCAAGGGGAAAAGAGAACCACCAAAACTCAGTGTAACCATCAATAACAAGGGCAAGGGCAAACAACCACGATTGCTCAATAAAACCATCATTAACAAGGCAACAACAGTCTAATCAGTAAA